GTAGGATAGAGTTCCGTTTCGTCGCAGCTCCTGCACGACTGTGACAAGCTGTTGGGCGTTGGAGTGAACACCAACCCAGACACCGTTGACGAAGACCTTGGTCGCATCTGGGTTCTGGTTTTGGTCGTACTCTTCCAGAAGCTGCATGTTTCGCTGTGTCATGAAGTCGATGATAGGCGAGGCGTCGCTACCGACACTGACGTAGCACATCAAAGACAAGTTCTTGACCAGACCACAAGCTTGTCCTTCAGGAGTCTCGGCAGGGCAAACAAGACCCCAATGGGAGTTGTGAAGTTGTCGCGGCTTGGCTAGCTTGCCGTCACGACCGACTGGGGTGTTTGTTCGACGCAAATGCGACAATGTAGAGGCGTAAGTGTATCGGTTCAACACCTGGGACACACCAGCCTTGGCGGAAGCGGCCTTCTTCTGGTCACCCCAGTTGCCCGTTGCCAAAGAGTACTTCAGACCATTTGTGATGATGCTGGCCTTGACAGCCATCTGAACGTTGAAGTCCTGGTTGTTCTCAACGCATCGCTGGAGGTACTTGTACACGTCCTTGGTGAGCTTCAGGAAGAGAATACGGAACAAGTTGGCGACCAGAGGTCCAGCAAGATCCAGACGCTTTTTACCGAAGTGATCACGATCGTCCTCGTCGCGGCGACCCAAAACACACTGCAAAAGGCGGTGGATCATGTAACCAAAGAAGTAGGCCTTGCGTGTGTCCTGACCCTCCTTCTGGGAAATATGCGGCAAGAATTCTCGCTGCATAATGTCCCTCGCGAACTTGAGACGCCTGTCCTTCGTGCCTGAATTGGCGCCACGCTTGGCAATGAAGTCCAGAGCAGTCTCTCGGTCCTGAACAACGGATCCCTCCTCGATACTGGGCTTCAACAGCTCCAGCATTTGTGTGTCGGTGCGGTCGTAAACGATGTGACTGAGAATCTCCTCGTCGGAGACAATACCGAGCGCGCGGAAGACGATGGCCATGGGCACATCCGCCTTGATGTATGGGAGGGTAGCGTATGCGAAGGGACCGGGGATACGTTTTCCGGGACCTGCGAGTGAGTTCTCCGCCCACTTGATGTTGAACGATGAGATCAACCGGGTGCCCTTCTCGACCGCACTTCGAATCTCAGCGATCCATGGAATAGGACCCTGCTTCTTTCGGAAGACCTGTACAATGTTCGCGGCACTGCGCTCCTGAGCGATGAGGACTTTCTCACTTCCGTTGATGACGAAGTATCCACCCTGATCGTAAGGGCACTCGTTCAGAGCGAACAGGTCCGCGTCAGACTGCGCTCGCAAATGGCAGAGCTCTGACCGCAACATGACAGGAAGCTTTCCGATGAAGACTCGCGCCGCAGCGCCATCATCCATTGGCATGTCTTCACGCTCCCACCGGATCTGCGATGGGCCGCCTGTGTAACCACCCTCCATCTCCTCGTCATCGCCCTCCTCTGGTTCGCGCCCCTCACGAGCGACCATTATTCGGTTCTCGATATCGGCCAACATGGCACCGGAGTATGTGAGATTCCGTAGACGCGCTTCGTGGGGATAAAGTTGCACCGTGGTGCCGTCGCCTTCGGTGTGTGTTGGCCGCGCCAGGTAGACGCGCCCGAATTTAATTTCATAGCGGCGCTTGATGATGGGGTTCTCCTCCTCATCGGGGTTGTAGGGCGTATTTTGCTCGAGAATGACGCTGCCGTTTTCTTTTACGATATCCTGGATTGTGTTGCGCGTGAATTCGTCGTAGGAGTCGAGCTGCTGCGAGACCAGACCCTTGGTGTCGAAGAAGGAGCTGATGACCGCCCAGCAGTCCTCGGGCAAGACGCGGTTCTCCTCATCCTCGTACTCGTCCTCCATACCGTCGTAGTCGTACGGCTCGGCCATGATCGCGACTGGGTTGATTAGGCGCGGGGAGGTGAAGGGGGGTGGGTGAGTGCGGACGTGTAGTGTCCTGTCTGTTCCGTATGCGACGGCGGCGACCGCCTCTCAAAGGACGTTCGGTGCTAACGCTACCCGTCTTAGCGCCACCGCGTATCACGTGATTTCACTAGCGTTCTAGATTCCATACAGTCCACCCGTGTCTTCCAGTTCCTGCATCCTTCTCGCGGCAACTTGCATTTTACTTGTAGATCCCGCATTTCGGGCCTAGACTTCCACTCAGCCCAGTCTAGGTTACACCACATACTGAACTCTCGAAGTTGGAGGCCTTAAACACCAGCACTAGATCCTCGTGTCTCCAATCACTGGTGACCGGACGCTTTCCAATGTCAAGAACTGGCAAATAAGTCTACATACCGCCGACAAGCCACACTTGCGATCTAGCCCTGTAGTTGCGACAGCATTCATTGTTCATACCTATTCGGGATGCATTATTTTATGCACTAACGCGAAATGTGCTCCGTATGTCGATCTGTACATTCTGGGCAGTGCGTGATGGCTCAAGGAGGCTGAAATGGCTGGCTGAACAAAGTATGGGTATCGCCAGGTCCAGTCGCCAGGTCAAGTTGGGGAAGAGTCTGGGACGATGAGCTGGAAGAACGAAGGCATATATAAGAGCTGTGAATGCGACAATAGGACCATCAGACACTTCGGAAAGCTCATATATACACGGTGGCAACATGCATCTCTTACCTACTTTCTTCGCCGGCGCTCTCTTGCTTGCACTTGAAGCTAGCGCAACTGCTACGACAAAGTCCTACGTTACTTGTATCACCAAACAAGGTCCAAAGCCGGTTGCTACCGTCAAGACAACGTCTCGCATCTTGACGGTACCTTTCTATGGCTTCAAGTTCACAACGAAGACGCCTACATATGTCGTCACTCCTCCACCGGTTACCGCCACGGTCACTGTCACAGCGACGAGCGTAATGACTGAGACCCAGACCCAAGAGACCGACACGTTCTCTGAAACTGTCACGCAGACCGACACAGTCCTAATAACATCCACGGACATCACCCGAGTAACAGACACCGCCACGCTCACTGTCACGCTTACTGCTGCAACAACGACTGTAGTACCTCCTGCAAATTTCCAGCCCATCCAGTCAACCTTCCCCAACAGGAAGCGAAGATCCGCCAGCCTCCCTGAAGTAGCATCGAACGAATCTGCACTAGAAGAGCGAGGCCAAGCGCAACGTATCATCTTCAACAAAGGCCGAAAACCGACATGCTCACCTCCCCTCTACCCACAAGGAGTGGCTTGTGTTGGCATAGCAAAGGTCATCAGTACGTCGACCATCACCCGGACCGCGAAGAGGACCACGACTGTTACGACGTCGGCACCTACCTCTTCGGTCACCACCACAATAACCGAGGTCAGCACGACCACCCTCACTCCCGTTCGCGCAGCAACAACAGTCACTGTCGACTACTACACAGCCATCACACAAACCATTGTCGAGCCCTCTACCATCACAACTGTCACTACCCAAACAATCGAAGTAGCCGCACCAGCTTCCACCTTCTACGCCGCCTGCGGTGCCGACAACTTCATCTCCAGTACCAATGGCCAAGTTTCCAGCCAAATCCTGACCAACGGCCTGTCGCAGCAGAGTGTCGTTGCCGGGTCGATCTATGGATGCTGCGCGGCCTGTATCTCCACATTTGCCTGTGTCGGAAGCGTATTCCAGGTAGTTAACGGCCAGAGCTACTGTTATTTCTTCACACGAAATAGTGGTGCTTGCGCTCCCGCTTCTCTGGGGGGCCAGATTATCTTGCAGGACGGAACACCGGACGGGTCTGTGTTGCTTAGTAATGGGATTTGTGGGAAATACTATGTTTAAGGAGGTTGGTGTTGGTGTTGATGTTGATGTTGATGTTGCAAGTAGCTACTATGGACACCGTTAGGCGGTCAAATACTGATTGATGAACATCCTGTCATGCTATCATCGCCATCGCTGCGTTCCCCTGTGAGCGGTTGAGTCATTGAGCGACATAACTGAGTAACATAACCTTGCCACCACTCAACGCCATCCCTCCTACCCCCATAAATACCCAAGGCGCATATATCCAGCCCCAGTACCAACCATCTTAATACATCCCATGATACACAGCCATTCTATCCAACACCTCAATCTCCAGGTCCACCCCCGCCTTAGCGAAAGCCTCGCTCACCACCTCCGGTAGTATAAGCTTGCAACTCGGCCAGCTGCCACGCTCCTGCTTCCAACAACCACCTCCATCATGAGCGCAAAGGCTCTCGCTCATTCGAACTCGGCGCAAGCTGCACAGTTGAAGCAAAGCTAGTATCCAACCAAACCACTTAATCCTCTCCGGTTCAGACAGCTCTTGGAATTGTCGCATTTCCGACCCACCCGTGGCGAAGATACCAGATGGGTATCTGAACCAGATCTCTAGTTCGCGTACATTCGGTGGTAAGAGAGTCGTGATATCGCTCCTGAGCTCAAAGCCCACGCGGTTGGGATTTGCTTTCAGGCTACCGCATGACATTTCCTCGAAAAACGCGAAAGCCGGCACATGCAGAATCTGCAAGGTGGTAAAATTGGTGAATCTAGTTGGGCTCCAAGGTCTCTGCGGTACTTCGTAGCATATGCCAGGCAAAATAGTGAGTTCTCGTAGCGTCTGTTGAGTCGCCCATAAATTAGCGATGCTGACATCTAGGCCGAGTGAGGGCGCGCCGTCGAGGTACCATGTGAAGCGCAATTTCTCCAGTTGACTAGCAGTGCCAGCTTTCTTCACAGCAGCACGTCCATTGTGTATTGATGGATATGTACACCATTTGTAGTCGATGGAGGTGAGATTTCTGAAGTTGACTGTGTCAAACCATTGGATGGAGGGCGCGGTCCAATACCCGAGCGCTGCGTGCGTGATATTCTCTCGTACGACTAGTGTTTTGGCGGTGGGCAGACCGAAGAGCCAAGTTGACATGGCTAAGTGATGCTCGGGACAGTCTATGCTAATAGGTGTGGTAGTGTGATCTCTCAGCCTGTATTTGACGTTAGCTCCTTGCCGACAATCACGTTTGGTCAGTAATCTTACATTTGAGCAATCTCGGATGATGCGTCCATTTGCTCAAACGTTGATCGCGGATCGTCCAGGATAAAGATAGTCAAGTTTTGTAGATTCGCAAGTTTGGCGAGAATCTCCCGAATCGCGTCTCGTTCGAGGGATAGCTTGCCATATGGGTACGCGCCTTCGAGCTGGCAATCGATTTGTAGCGTTTGTACTGAGCCGGCGAGGTGCGGGGCGGCTGTGAGCGCGGTCAAGAGCATCGAGCAGCGTCCATTATGAACTGGAGTATGTTGCGCAGGTACTTGGATGTCGCGGTAGAGAAGTTGCTGGGCTGATGCTCTGAAGCTGCGGTGTGTCTATCAAGCTGTTAGCACGAATAATAAAATGTCTTGGAACCGGGTTGGCAAAGCATAGCAAGGAGGCTACATACTAGTAATAAGTTAGCAAGATATCTTAAGAGCTATCTGTGGCGGCTACTTTACCCTTAATCAGAGCAAGCCAGGCATTCTTGTCGGCGAGATAGGCGAAGATTTTGTCCAATGTCTCGTTGACGAAAGTTGTAATCTTCGATTGAGACATGATGTGTTGTAGAAGGTCACAAAGTGTTCGACTTACTCAAGTTCCGGGTGTTGAGAATGCGAGCTTTTTAGATGTGGAAGCAGGTGGATAACAGAGTGCGCGGTGGCCGAGTTAGACTGGTGGTACCTATAGCGTGGATCCGGCAGTGATTGGCAATGTAAAGACCACCATTTTGCAGACCGTGCATAGAGTCCGAGAGCGTGAAACTCCTCCTCATTCAAGCGATCCACATGTCTTGACAATTTCCCTTGCCCTTCTCCCAAAGTTCACCCTTCATGATTCCATGAATATAAGCGTCACCTATGAACTCCCACGTACCTTCACCTTCCCGCAGTATGAGCGGCGTCATAACGCCACCGACTAGCACAACGTGGTCTCCAAGCCGACATATACTGGGTACCAGAGCATAATAAGTGGTCTTAGAGTCTGCAAGACCAACTATTCGCGCGCCCTTGCGATTTAACGCCTGCCAGGTCATAGACCTGAACTCTACTTCAGGATTGACCCAGCCAAAGCGACGAAACACACGCTCAACCAGAACTACCACGATGTAGCAAACTAGGAAGCGGTGGATGTTGAATGTGTGAAGAAGACGCAGGATTTTCTGGCGTTTCTCAAATGCTCCGTAAGCGTTCCTCTTAGCTTCTGGGGTATGTTGCGTTTCGCAAGCCGTGAACATCTCGTACATGGCTTCCGTTGCAGACTCGCCGGTCGCAGAGTAAAGCTGTTTGGCGTGCTGGGGTCGAAAGAGGACTTCCCACTCATGAACTTGCTGCATGTTAAACTGGAGGAGCTTTGCTTGATCGAGGAGAGATTGGAGAAGTGGGGCTTTCGGCAATTCCCAGCGGCGTGGTGTAAGCTGAGTGACACGTGCCACTGCAACTCCAGACAACCGCAACATCTTGGGTAAGTTTTCTGGATGCTTGCCAAGTTCTGGTGGCGAGTTGTATGCCTCGATATCGAAGCTAGGTTCAAATCCAGAGTTGTTCGAAGCATGGTAGTCTCGCGCTTTATCGGCATCCTTTCCAGGTATTTCAAGCATGACTAACGATTGTGGTGTTGCTTCCGTCCATTGCCAGTCCGGTACCCAAGACGGAAGTGTGAGTCGGACGACTCTGTTGTCGCTTTCTTCGAGGGAGTTGGTGACCAGACGAGGCACATGGAGGATTGCTACTTGCCCTTTGCGAAGCGCGCGCGCGGCCAAACGAGTGTACAGTATCTCTGTCGTGAGTGCCTCGTCATAGTCCGGCTCTATTCCCAGCTCATCCAATGCCTTCTTGCATCTCATACCGTAAAAAGCTAAGATTTTGTCTTTGGCATCACCAGAAAAACATGATCGATGCCTCAGTAGCGTCCCGGGCCAATCAAGATCGACGCCATTTTCCCATTCCATCTCACTGAGCCTCATGAGAATGATGCTGCCTAACTTGACTCCTTGGTAAAACTCCCACAGCCACAGCTGATTCAGCGTTAGATATAGAGATGCACCTAGAAGCGATTGCCAGAGTATCTTAGCGCTTCCACACACGAACACCACCTGACTGGAAACCACGACCTCTTGCATGATCCAAGCTCGTTCGAAATAAGGCCGATCCAAAAGTCTGAGCAACGTCTCCAGTGCTGGATCGCCTAGCTTGACCTTAACACGCACATCTTTCTCTATCTCTTCTGCCGGTGACAAAACATATTGTCCCTGCTCCGCCAGCTCTCGCCTGTAGGTTTTGTTCAGACCAGAAGCATATTCAAAAGCTGCTTCTATCCCCTCCTCTCCCAGACCCAGCCAGCTCACAGTCACACTAGCCTTCATGTAGATCTGTCGCATTTTTGGTACTTGTGCGGTCTTCTCCTCCTTATTCTTTTGATCTAAACATACGCTGTCGACCCATATTGTGCGTGTTTCCAGCCAACGCCATCCTCGGATCTCGTAGAGCAACGGTATTAAAGTTTTAGGTATCTTCAGAGTGTTGTCGTTCTCCAGATCACGAGGTGGGGCCGCGTTGGTGATATGAATGGTAGCTTCGTGTGGCTCAGGGCCCCAGCAGTAGGAGAGAGCATAAAACTTTGGGGCTTCCGACAACAATGTTGTGTACAGTCGACCGGTAATGGGGCCACTTGGAGGACCCCTGTGAACTTCCAGCAATCGTATGTATACATCTTCTGAGTTGTAGAGAGTCGGAAGTGGTTGGTATTGATATGGCATGTTTGTGTGCCAAAAGAGACCGATGAATTTGGATAGACCCCGGAATTGCTGGACATTTCCGGCATTGGAGGTACACGCCTTCAGATATACCTAATTTGCGCGTCGAAGACCGGGCGTGTTACATCCATTGCACTCCCTTGGGGTCGCCATCTTCGAGATAAGACCTGCCCAGACCTGCCCAAAAACGCCATATCCTCAGCTGGCTCGTTTGTGCACAAAAGGAGAGACGCGAGGCCAGACAAAGACGCGCATTTGCGGCTGAAGTTTGCAAGGCTAAACGGAGGCTATGTCATTCGCTCGTTCGGATCCTCGATCCGGCCATTGGAGCATACTAGTTCACCTGTATGTTCAGCTGGCGTTGTGTTGTGGATAGTCCGGCACTACGTGATATTCTTCAAGAGAGCGGGTGTGATTATCGCTTTCGAATGCAGGGCCTCCGTGGCTAGCTGTGTGGCTTTGCGCGGCGCGTCGGCGAAACGGTACGTAGCGGATGAGGTTTGCGTGTTGCTTGCGTGCTTGCTTACGAAGAAGCTCGTTTATTCGGTGTCACGCCCTAGTCCATATTCGGCGTAGCGCTCGTGCTGGGGAAATCTTCCCGAGGTCGTCCAAAAGGAAACTCGCGCACTCGAACAACCACGGCGCCCATACCAAGGCAGGCGTAACAAAATGCTTATCGCGAGCAGAACTCCAGTTTACAAGATCTGCTACCCCACAAGTGATGGGCGTGGTGTGGACCCTAGCGCCCACCCTCCGTCTCCACCTGGAGTACCGATCTTTCACACCCTCACATGGCCCGACTGCTAGCGCAATCGTCCCACCCAAGAGTTCTTGTTCTCCCGTGGATCGAGGTTTATAAGGTTACGCAGCATGTTACAACGCGGGCGCCTTGCCCTCCATAAAGTTTGTCGGCCCTTTCAGCTCTCGACCCCGCGTCACAAGAGCACGCCGATGAAACCTGGTTGGCCAACTTTAAGAGCTCTGCCCTTGGCTCAGGAATAGAGCACGCTGAGAGGAGCGACGCGTCAAGGGTAGATAGGCCAAGCCCGCATTGGGTGTATCGAGCTGCAGAGCCAGTCTTGGGCTTCATCTGACGATGATGTAGCTACTTTTAAGGTTGGGTCTTCCTCTGTCTCTGCGAATCCGCCTTCCTCCGAGCTGCGCGCTCGAACGTGAACACTGCTTTCCTATCTACCCATCCCGTGGTCCTCAAGCCATACATTCCGTTACTCCGGGGTCACCACATGCGCGCAGTCGGTGATTGCGACACCCTTGGTATGCACGCAGCTTGAATCGGTCGACAAAGGAAATCCAATCCGCGGCATATACGCAACACCTCGAAGCGCGCTCAAGATTTCGCTTTCTCTCTTCTCTCTGTGTGAATATACCCTACCAGTCTTATTATTATGTCAAACAACACTGAAGAAGAGACGTCGCCGGCGAGTGTAAAGAGTGGTACGATCGTCATCGCGATCATCGTGCCCTCGGTCTTGATCATTTTACTTCTTACGCTGGTCATCATGTCAGTCTCCGCACTGGTGTCAGAGGACCTCATGCATGTCTAAGCTGACGATAGGAACCGCCGCAGGGGCTTCATTCTCCCACGATGCGTCCGCGATGAATCTACTCACAAAGAGAAGCGCTGGAAGACGCGGCAAGACGAGCTGGAGACGCACATCAAATCACAAAATTTCTATGATTGGCTCGAAAGTCAGAAGGAAAAGTCTTCCGACTTATCGCAAGCATCCGATCCCCTATGGTGAGTATGCCAAATTAGCCATATTCGATGAGCGGGCTGGACTGACTATGAGACAGCGCCATCTGCCTTGACGATTTCGCCGAAGATGCGCAAGTTCGGGGACTCCACTGCTCTCACGCTTTCCACTCACACTGTCTCGACGAGTGGTTCACAAGATACAATGAGTACTGTCCCTTGTGCCATCGACCAATAATACCCGGGTCTCGGGCAGCGCGAAGGAAAGTCCGTGAAGGGATGGATCCAACCATTCCGGTAGTCCTCATGGTGTAACTGCTGCAATCGACAATGAGAGACACAGTTCCAGCTTCATGAGGCTCTTGAATCTTCGGAAGATGATGCACACCTCTACCAGATCCTGGCATAGGCTGCTTTGGACAATTGAAAGCGACCACATCCGCGGATGGGAGGACCATACTTTAGATCGAAGAGCCCGGAGCGATGTACAGCCAGGGCTTAGTCGCAGCGGAGACGGGTTCAACAACGGGTTTTTAGATACTTCGCCTACACGGGAGCTTCCGCGCCACAGCCGCATACGGGCTGACGGACGTTCTCCAGCACCTGCCAATCTCGTTCTGAGTATGCCAGGGTCAGTTGAGCGATCGGGCGGAGACTATGAAGAAGTGGGTCAATATACTCAACTCAAGACACTATGCGTCTTAGGAAGAGCAATGGCCTTCCGCTCAAGCGTAATGATAGCACCACACCGACGAGAGGAAATAATTCGATAGTGATAATCTAGGGACATGGATAACTAAAGTCCCAAGATATAGGGGAGTAGAGCTTAGTCTACGGGTGACCTCTAGATGCCCGGCATTTCCTTGTGTTGGCGAGATAGTTATCACTATGTCGATTCGAATAAATACACCAAACGAGTTTTGAGTCTCTCGCAAAGACTCTTTGCGTGTATTTATACCCCCTGCAAACACAGAGAGGACATACAAGCTTAGTCTCGATTGCATAGGAGCATGTTGAGATGCGGCTGCTATTAGTGGGGCAGCCGAGGCCGCTAACGGAAGCGTCGTTGGCTCCCGCTCCAACATGGCATTGCCCACAACACACCTGCACTCTTTTCATACCATGTCATCCTGTGATGATCTTCAGGCACAAGAGCGACGGCATTCCGAAAATAATGCGAAAAAGATACTGCTGTGGCTAGGACCTCGTAATGAGGCGCACGGCGTGCCATCGCTAGGATGGTTCCGGGCATGGAGCGGGGCGCAGGGAAATGTCACGCCACCCTCTGGTGGTCTGATCAACCTCTACCTTGGTAATCTAGAACAGCGCAGAACCTGGCACAGGACAACTTCCGCACAATTGCTGTACCGAAAGCCCCGTTGGAGCGACTGACATTTTCTAGGCTTTTGACTGCCCTTTGCACCTGCCACTCTCGATACTGCATCTTCATACCCCCTGACCAGTCGGTAGATCAAACCCCGTACGAGGAGTACCACGAAACGGTGTGGACTTCGCCTGTATTGACCTGCAACTACTGCCAAGCTGTTCCTTGGGTCTTACTCACCCGCCTTAAGCCATCGCCTATTCCCGTGTAAAAACCTAGAGAAACTTCTCTCAAACGCGTGGATACATCTTCACCATCGACCCATGTTGAGTACCTGCGAGCATCTTTTCAACTTGACGAAGACAAAGGAAGTGCCCGCGCTTATAACCTCGACCCCAGCTCGACCCTGATCCTGCACCTCGCCCGCTAGTCTCACGTGTGGCTTGGCCAGGGTACCTTAGCGATTGTATCTCCTGATCAACGCGTGAGCTCTTCCGTGCAACAACCCACCCGCGGACTATCATCATGGCTCTCAATTGGGACGCATTCCTCAATACTGAGGGTTTCAACCTACCGAACGACCAATGGTCCGATCTTTTACCACCAACGTCTGCCCCTCCCACTTCCCAGATGCCTAAGTCGACCACCACCGACACGTCAGGCTCTTCACCTGAAGACGTCACCAATTTTGATTCCCTTCTCGGAGGAACATCAGGCGATCCTTACTTTGACGACTCGCTGTTCTTACCTAACGACTACTTTCTGGGCGACCTCGACGTCCTCAAGCCCTTTGGCAACAACATTGGTGGAGGGAGATCTACCAATGAGTCGTCACCCGAGCCTGTACATGGGACTGGTAACGACTCTACATCTCAGACACCATTAGACGTAAACGGCCTAGACCAGTCAGCCAACATGCCGCCAGCTCAGAGGCAAGCACTCCAACGTGCCAACACCTTCCCCAACCCTGCCTATGAATCTTTGTTTCCCAACAACCTAGATTCCGGTTTCGTCGAAGACCTCACCTTCCCCGACGGCCCGAAAGGATCATCTACCACTACCAAGCCAGGGCTTGAGAGAACTCAAACATCAACAACAACAAACACTACGTCGAAACGTACCAAGAACAAGCCAGACATACTCTCTGCCTGCTGGACATCCCCACTTTGCCCCAATCACGATGTAAATGGTTCACCGCCTAATCCATCGACGTGCGGCGGAGGATGTGCTCCCTTCTTGTTCGCAGACCAGGACGCTCTTCCAAGTATCAGCAACCTGCTCAATGATCCACAAGAAGTCACTGCCGAAGATGGTATAGTGGAGATCCAACCACGCCCCAAGAAGCGATCTGAAAGCGACGCATCAGCAAACGGCTTCTCAACTCAACAAAGAGAAAGCAAAGACACAACCACATCCCCAACAGACGACCGAACACGAATGAAGAGCGAGACGACAGAAGACGCCTCCGCCAAAGAATCACCTCAAGCCAACGATGATGAGAAGACAAAGCCACGCCGACGACTACCGCACAACCAAGTCGAACGAAAGTACCGAGAATCGCTCAACACACAACTAGATTCCCTCAAGCGTGTCGTGCCCTCCCTCCAAAACCAACGAGCGTGCGACGGCGCGGATATCGAGGACCTACCTACACCCTCGAAGCCTAGCAAAGCAGTCATCCTAGCATCGGCGACTGCGTACATCAAACAAATGGAAAAGGACAAGAAGAGCCTGGCAGATGAGAACCAATTGCTTCGGACGAGGGTCAAGGCTCTCCAGTCGCTTGTTAAGTGTGACGACTGCAGCTTGATGCAGTATGTCATGGACCTGAAGATCAAGCAGGCTAGTTGAGGATCGTTTGATTCCTCTTGTTTTGTTTATGCGATGCTGGCATCAATACAGCATCCACTCGGCGTTGGTGGGGTCTAGGATGAAAACATAAAGCGTTCCACGTCAGCGGTCACA